AATAGGGTAGCCTTGTATAACTAAAATTTGTGCTAATTGTTTTAGCTCTTTTATTAGGTTGTAATTGTTGGATATAATCTTATTGTATCTTAACGCTTGGCTATATATTAAATTGCTTTTTTGATGAGGGGGATGGAATGAATTATATATGCAATAGTGCTGTTTATATGCAATAGTGCTATTTATATGCAATTGTGGTTGCATCAGTTGCCTTTTTGTATATTGTTGTTTCTAACTGTCCATCTAGCTTTTTGTTAATTGTTAATTGTGATATAGATATTATCTATACCACAGCTAGGTTATCTAGCTGTTATATAGATAATATCTATATCACAACTAGATATAGATATCTATATCTATCTGTTATATACACATGATATTCATATATATTTCTTTTTTTAATATAATGTTTGCTATTAAGAGTAATATTTTAAAAACACTGCCAAATATTGATGAATGTGTTTTGAACCAGTTTGTTAAAAAGTTATTGGAAATAGGTGTTGAAAAAGAAAAAGATCTCTGCCTGGTAAAAGTTATTCTAAGAGGATTTGGTTTTGCTAAAACCCATCTAACAGCGCAAACTCCTTGAATATAGGGCAAAGGAAAGCTCCGATAATAAAGATTTATGATATATATTTAAAATAAGTATCATTTTTATTATCATATACATTTATATACTTTTATTTATAATGTTAATAACGTTTTTTGCACAACAAAATCTCAAAATCCTGTAGATTTTATTGTGAAAAATAACTCAACTAATTTGAGTAAGTTGTTAAAAATATTTGTTAAAAATAGTTGTTAAAAAAAGTTGTTAATAAAACATGGTAAGTAATAAAATGTTTAATTTAAAGTGTTCTTTAAATATTTAATTGCTCAATTTTAAATAAAGTTTCAATTCCGTCTAGCAATAAAGATTAAAAATGTAAGTGCTGCTGATTGGTACTTGAGATTTGTTGTACCTTGGACCAATATGACTTAAGAGGCACAAGATATATTTGTAGGTAGTGAAAGACCTTCAACAGCACATCGTTGTGCAACTATAAGTATTATTATAAATGATGTTCTTGCTGTTTGCTTACGCTATTAAAAAACATTTAGATGTAATTGCATCTTCTATGGTTGCCAAATATTTTAAATTGTTTATAGATGAATATGGTCCCACAGTAATTGGTAGGGGCCATGATAGTTTAACATTACAATGAGTTAACCATTATGACTATCTGTGGCGGCCAAACCGTATGCCACTGTTACTGGGTGATTTAAATTTGGAATCGCAAAAGGGATCCCAATTATTAGTTAATGTCATAAAAAAAAAACTGATAGTTATGGTTACTTAACCCGAGAACCAGTTCTCAGTGTTTCAAACAGCTCTGAAGAACTCTATTACTATTTACAACGAACTAAAATAAATGGAAGGATCTTGTCAAATGATTTGTTGATAAAATTCTCCAATTTATTTTCAGTTAAGTAAGTTCTTTTTATTTAAAAATAAAATAACTTATGTTATTAATCAGTATATATTAATTTATATAATGACAAATTAATAGATATTTCATTTTTATAGTATTCAGTTTCATTTTTGTAAAAGTTTATTTTATTTAGTTTTAGTATATCTATGTGTTTAAATTAATTATTTATATTTAGGTTGATAGTTTGCATGTTTTGATGTGTGGAGTGAACTCTTGATAAGAGCATTCCCAGTAAGCACAAGACGCATTTTAGACACTTATAGACGTCTAAAACTAGTCTAGGTAAAGACGCACTTTTATAAACGTTTTAAAGACATCTTTTAGACGTCTTTTATGAATACGTTTTTAAAATGACGTTTAAAAGGCGTCTTTTTTGAAGATAAAAAGACGTCTAAAAGACGTCAATTTTTAAGACATCTTTTAGACGTCTTTTATGAATGCGTTTTTAAAATGACGTTTAAAAGACGTCTTTTTAAAAGATAAAAAGACGTCTAGAAGACGTCAATTTTTAAGACATCTTTTAGACGTCTTTAATAAATGCGATTTTAAAATGACGTTTAAAATGCGTCTTTTTAAAGTTTAAAAAGACGTTTAAAAGACGCATAATAAATAGTCTAAAAGACGCATTAAAAGACGTCTAGATCAAGGCTAAAAGACGTCTTTTCTGAGACCTGTTTATAAATATGTCATTATGACTTCTTTTTGACGGCTTTGTCATTACGCGTTAAGTAGATGTCGTATATTCAAAGTAAAAACATAGTTTTTATTATTTTCAATAATTTGTTTAAGTTTTAAGTGTAAATTACTTTAAATTAAATTACATTTTTACACAATTGCTAAAATTGTTGTCACAGGAATCACTAAAATAATTGCTATAATATTAATATATCTTTTTTTTATTAATAATTATTTTGCTTTTTTAATAGATAGTTGACTGATCATGATAATAAGTGAAAATGGCAAGAATAATATATAAGTTAAATATCAGTATTTTTAGTTTTTATACACCCACAAGCCATATAGTAATTCAAGTATGCGGTCAAAAATTAGCTAGCTAATCGTATATGAATTTTATTATAACTAAAGGTGAGTTATAAATGTTTTAAATACTGTTTTGATATATATTTGTTATTGTTATATATTATGCATCAACCGTTTGTGGTGATTACAGCAATATTATTTTGATTGCTGGTTCCTATGTATATTTTGCATATACGAAATTATAACAATATATGATTTTATAAATACAATGCATACTACGTGATAATGTTACGTCATGTACTTAAATTCATCTTGATAAAAAACGTCTAAAATACGTCTAAAACGCGTTTTTATAAAGACGTCTTCATTTAGACGTCTTTTAGCCTTATGATCTAGACGTCTACAAGTGCGCTTTTTAGACCTCCTTAAAGAAATCTTTAAAACGTCTTTTAAACGTCTTTGTGCTTACTGGGTTTATTTAATTTTTCTAAAGTTTATATTGTATTTGATGTTAATGGTATTTTTATTTTATTGATGAGAATGTTTTCAAACATCAATTGCTTATCCATATATTATTGACTGTTCTAGTGCATTTTTTGGCATCAATCCTGAAAAATGGAGCAAATCAAGGCGAAAGAAGAAGTTTAACTACGTGGTAAATTCAAGTAATAAATCTCGCAAACTTCTGCAGTATTGACAGCAAAATTTAGCTTATTGATGAATCAATAAGCTAAATTTTGCTGTCAATACTGCAGAAGTTTGCGAGATTTATTATTTGAATTTACCACGTAGTTAAACTTCTAAATATAACTTTGAAGAAACAATTTGTTTTGTAGTTATTTACATTTTTTTGTAAATTTTCAAAAGATTTACAATAACCTTTTTCTTTTTTTTTTTTTGAATTTGATTTGCACTTAAACTCGAATATAAATATTTATATAACGTCATCTTAATATGTCACATAATTTAAATTTGCGTTTTCTCACCATAAGCATATAAACAAGCGCATATGTTGACAGATATTTATAATTGATAAAAACGTAATTGAAATACGATTGAATTAAATGAAAAAAATGAAAAAAAGAAATAGGCGAGAAATATTTAGAATATAGTAAAAAATATAAATTATATTGTACAACATTTGTTGCACAACAAATTAACGAGTCATTTCAGTAAATTAATCACGGTACTATGCCGTAATTCACGCTGTTTCATCACAGAAAAATCAAGGTATTCTACCGTAAAATAACAGCGTTTTACATTGGTTCATTTACGGTGTTTTACCGTAAAATAATCACGGTAAAATACCGGCACTTATGGGTAACGGTATAGTACCGTGATTTTCACGGTAAAGTTTTACAGTGTAGATGGCATCTCAACTACGTACCCATTTAACAAAGCATAATCACTAAGCATAAGAAGTAAACATGCTACGTCTGCACATCTACCAATACTGTTTGCAATGCAGTTGCATGTTGCTGTTTTTACATGATCACTAACATTGCTTATTATGACAGTAACATCTAAAGGTTTATCATTTTTCATTAAATGTCATTTAATTCAACTTCTAAGTCATCTTGAGTTGCAACTTTATTTTGGTATAATCTTGAAATTGATTTAACTATGTAATAATAAACATTACCATAGTTAAACATAGATGGAATATTATGAAAAAGAAACATATGCCAACTAATTTTGGGTAAAGATAAATTGCTAACAGTTAATGGTAAAATACTGCATAGTTTTGCATCGTAACTTTTACCGCCATCCACTTTGATGTCAACTATAATTCCCATTTTCATACACCAAGAAACTCTTTCTATTAATTCACACCTTTACCCTGCTTTTTTCTGTCCATGACACGCAAGCCATCGTTTTAACTCATCAACGTTACAATCAGAAACATCTTTTTTTAAAAGTGCTGCAGGAACATCTTTTTCCATCAAAATAATGCCGTTCAAATTATCGTCCATTGCCAAATTACCCTTTATCATAGTCATAAATCGTAAGATATACATTGTAATGCTTATCCTTATGCTTATACGAATGATTTGTTTGTCCGAATATCAATCCCAGAATTCTGAACAGTAAAATTTGATGACATCACCATAACGGTAGGCTATTAGACGCAGTACCGAACTTAGTGATATTGTTCTCGTGGTAAAACACTAGCTGTATAATCTCCAAAGGAAAATATATGCAGTTGCAGCTTTTCTCTCCTTGCAAGAGGTTTACAAATAAATATTAATTTATTTGATAAGTAAATAAAAAGTTGTCAAATATTTACGTATACATACATATTTAATTATAACTATGTAAATTGTAAACAATATGTTACATAAGATTACATAAAATATTACATAAAAATAAGGTTATTTTTTATTGATGTTATATAAATTATATTTATATATAAATCTACATATTATGTTGAATTATGCACGATTAGTTTTTTTTATTATAATTTATATAACTTCAATAAAAAATAACCTTATTTTTAAGCTTAATAAGTTTATATAAATTTTATACTTAATTTTATTTTTTAGGAGGTCATAGCAACTGTTGTTCTGGTCAGGCTGTTTTAAACCTAATTAATTTGTCAGAAAAGCTTGATTCAACGTCATTTGAACAAGTTGCTGCAGGCATAATTAAAAACAAGATGAAGCGAAAAGGCATAGAAAAATGCTAATCCTTTAAAATATGTACAGGTAGCTAAGTTTTTTATTTTTATTATAAAATGTGTGATAAAAGATTTAAATGTTCGTATAGTCTATATTATATATTATAAAACTTAAAGGCATACAAAAGTAGATATGAGGCATATAACATAACAATTTTTTTGATTGCAAACTTTTTTGAAATATTTGTGTTTTAACTTTAGTTATGGTAAAAAAATATATTTAATTTAGTTATACTTTATTTTTAAGGATGGAATCCATTAACTTTACCCGTTAGGACTAAGGATAATAATTCTTCCAGAAAGTCTTTCAATCAGATATTATTCCAAACAGTTATGAAGTTAACTTCTATACTGGAATTTAAAAAAAATCAAACAAATAAAATGATATCAAGTCTGCGTAATAATCTAGGGTCGTCTACTGTTGTTGTGAACAATGTAGTTAACATGATGACATCATTGCAACAAAAAATTGAGTCTAAATATAAAGTAGAGCAATATGATTTTATTTGGAATGATGAAACTGTAACAAGAGATATAGTATTTATTCATGATACTTCTGAATTTATTCTTAATATTTTAAGAGGTTTAGATCCTCTTTCCAGTATGGTACATGTATCCATTGATGGAGGTCAAGGATTTTTTAAAGTAATTGTAAATGTCTTTGACAAGACCAATAAAAATGAGACACACATCGACAGTGAAGTTAAAGAGTGTTTTATACTTGCTATTGTTGAAGATATTTTTGGAGACCATGGAAATCTGCAGAAAATCTTGAGTAGATTAAACCTAGATGATGTTACGCATCACGCTGCATTTGATTTAAAATGCGCTAACAGCATTTTCAGTTTATCTTCTCATTCTGTTAAATATGCCTGCTTATGGTGTGAAGGTGAAGGTATCCTAGAATGTGGTATTCCATGAATGTTAGGGTTTCTTGAACATTGGTACAAGTTATTTGTTGAAAATGGGGCAAAGCGATTGCAGATGAAAGATTTTTAAAATGTGATTAGTCCTCGTCTTGTTTGTTTTGATAAAAATCCTGAAGTTGAAATTAATCACTTAGTTCCACCACCAGAATTACATCTTCTTATGGGAATTGTCACACTTCTTGGTAGACAACATTTAGATCATTAGCTTTTGTTTACGAATTGGCTCAAAGAGCATTATATTTTACTTTGTGGTTATCATGGCATAGGCTTTGATGGCAATAATGCCACAAAACTTTTAGAAAAAGTAGATATTTTAGAAAGAGATATTTTAGCATCTCAAACTAATTTGATACCTGTTGTTCATTGCCTCAGAAAGTTTTTGAAAGTTAAAGAGTACACATTTGGACGAGAATTAGGCAGTAATGTTTCTTCAGTTATTGAAGAGTTCAAAGTATCATTTTTTGACCTACAGCAGTATAAAAAATACATTTAAATGCAGAACTGAATGTTACTTCGAAAGTACATATAGTGGTTTGTTATATTTTCCATTTTTGAAATATAATACTTGTTCTCTTGAGTCATATGCTGAACAGACTGGAGTGGCTATTCTCAGTGCCTTTAAACCAAGTTAGTCTCGATATAAACAAAGGATTGGGCATATAGAATATGGTAAACGATTAAAATCTGCCACTGCCCCTTTTTGCATAGGTAAGATGTAAATATTTCAATATATAAGTAGTTGTGTTAATATTTTTATTGCATTCCTTGTTTTTTCCTTGTAATATTACTATAAGGGACTCTGATGATTTAAGTTTCCAGTTATAGATTATATTATAATACTTTAAAAAGGATAATAAAGGGTATTGGTTTTTAAAATAATAATAGAAGGGGTTACTTTTATAGGGGGTAACTTTATCGCTTTAAGGCGGGTTAATAGGGTTAAAAAATTAATTTTTTTGGTACTTTTGATCTACTTTACATTAATCTAATACACAAAAATAATATATTTTAGCAGCATTTATCTTATTTTAAATAAAAATTAGAAGTGGGAGGAAGTTCAACCTGGCGGTCTTTATGGCACACAGTGATATAGGAGAACAAAATCAAAACAATAAAAATTAGGTAATATTTATAAATAATAATCAAGCATTTTTGTTTTCCTTTACACTACGGCATATAAGAAACTTTGTAAATGAAAATTTTTATTATATAAAACGTTATTACAAAATAGTATAAAAAATATTAAATGCATACAGAATTAAATTATAGTTCTAAAAACTTTTTTTAGGATCATACTTAAATTATTTTAAAATTGATTCCAATACTATTTAAAGTGTTTGTGCATTGTGTATTGTGCTTTGTGAAGTACTTTATTGATAAAAATGCTGTTTTGTAATTTTAACCTCTCTAAATATATATAATAATTGATATAATTGTGTAAATGTGTCCAAATAAATATGAATGATTAAAGTTATTTCAAAACTTAAACTAACGGAAAACTGGCTCTGGTTGCAATGCCACATTGGTTTGACTTATTTCTTGACATTTTAATATAACCATGATCTCCCCAGGTTTTGCCCCAACTAAGAGAAAAATCATCATTGGAGATAAGTATTTAAATCTTTTTACCATTTTCAAAGTAATACACAACACATTTTTAATATTTAATACCTATTTTTTACAAGCCAAAATTTGTGACCTTTTTCAGTTCCATAACCAACAACTAAAACAGCATGGGTGAGATTCGTTATACCATTGCCACAAGTTGGTTCGTTATACACACCCGACTTATAGCTTTGGAAAGAAGGTTTACTGGCATCAATATTAACAGCTATTGGTCCAACCGTAGCAACAGCTTCTTTAAGAGCATCTTCGTCTCCATAAGGTATTTCAACAAAACCTGAATCAGAAGCTTCTTTGTATTTTTCATCGTAGTAACAATACCCAAGTTCCTGGAAAATACTCAAATTATTAAATAACAAGTTAAAATACAATAATTTTAATCTATAATAATAATAATAATAATAATAATAATAATAATAATAATATATATATATATATATATATATATATATATATATATATATATACATATATATATATATATATATATATATATATATATATATATATATATATATATATATATATATATATATATATATATATATATATATATATATATATATATATATATATATATATATATATATATATAACATGATTCGCAAAAAAACACTCACACACATGCGATTTGACTAATCTACTGATGGAGAAACAAGTTTTTAAAAATTGGATAAGTGTTTTTACTAACTTTGCTCTGTTTTATAAGTAAATTTAGCACTCTGTTTTAAGAATACACCTAAGTATTTATACACACATATATATATATATATATATATATATATATATATATATATATATATATATATATATATATATATATAAATAAAATAGAGTGATATATATATATAAAATAGAATATATATAAAATATATATATATTTTTTATATATATTTATATATAAATATATAAAAAATATATATATTGTAGAATACATTTTAAATTGTTTAAATATATATATATATATATATATATATATATATATATATTATATATATATATATATATATATATATATATATATATATATATATATATATATATATATATATATATTGTGTTGTATTCTGTTGGATTTAATATAGCTCTTTGTCGGTTTAAGAGTGATCGATATTTATAAAATAGATCAAAATATATTAAATATTTAAATGAAAAAAATACGACTTTTTTATGGGACTTCAAGTTTCATGCCACTCGGCAATCATTCAGCCATATATTTAAAATCATTAAAATAAAAACCGTTATAAAAATACAAAATTGCGTTGCAACGAGATCAAACGTCAGTTTTCACGTTAAACGGGAATTTATTTAACCGGTGTCGAAATTCGTTGCAACGAATTTTTTTTAATAATCATTGCCGAATGGCATGAAACTTGAAGTCCCATAAAAAAGTCGTATTTTTTTTATTCAAATATTTAATATATACATATATATATATATATATATATATATATATATATATATATATATATATATATATATATATATATATATATATATATATATATATATATATATATATATATATATATATATATATATATATATATTTTCCTAAAATAGAATGCTTAATGTACTTATAGATTAGAGTAATAATAAGTTAGTAATTATCCTTATCCAATTTTTATTTTTAAAACTTGTTTCTCAATCAGCAGGTTCGTCAGTAGGTTTGTCGAATCGCTTGTGTGTGTGTGTGTGTCACGAATCATGTGAGACATATACACACTTTTTAATGCATTTGAATGATTTATCTGAAATCGTTTTAATGAGTCAAATTATCTGAAAAGATATATGAAAAATCTTTATTGATGAAACTCTGTATAAAATAATAAATTTAATATATTTATATGAGAGTCTAGCAAAGCCCCAAAATTTAGAATCCAACGGAATTAATATTGTGATTTGAAATTCAGTTTGAAAAATCTCTTTATATTCGAATCAAGATTTTTTTAATAAACTTTCAAAAAAATAGAGACATTCTATATAACCTTTTTCGCTTTTAATTTTATCAAAAAACGATGTTTTATTTCTTTCTTTTTTTTTTTATTAACATTAAGTGGAATGCAATATCAATGTGGGTAATACTAATCCGCGGGAAATTAATCCACGTGAGGCTTTGTTGTTTTTTTTGTCGTAAAACTTAGAGTACACCCGCAATTATTAATATGAAAATAAATATTAAATAACCTACAAATTTTTGCAGATTTCAAAAGTCAGAAAATTTAAACGAAAAAACAATAACTACTTATTTTTATGTTAATTTTTTTTTTTTTTTTTATTTTACATTTTTTTTTATTTTAGTTATTTTAAAAAGTTACCAAAACTATTTTTGCTAAAAAGAAAACTATTTTTTATACAGTTTTTTCAAATGTATCTGATTGGCAACCTTATTTTTTTGCTAAAAAACTTATAAAAAATATGACGACCCTTCGTGACCTATTTTTTAAAATGTTTTTTTAAAAGCTACCAGTTAACGTATTTGACACATTTCAGTCAGGTGAATTTTAGTTTTAGGAACCTTTTTTTTAGGAACCAGTCGATACTTTTTTAAGGGTTTATCTCTTCTTATTTTGTTCTTATAATCACCTCTTACTTAAAATTTTAAGTAGTATTAGATTTAAGTAATACATTTAAATCTAATAAGCTACTTAAAATTCATAAAATAATAATAAATAATTTTTATTATAACAACTGAAAAACATACACGAACACTTACGCATACATACACACGTACATGCATACATCTAATAAATATTATTTTCTTTATTAATTATACATAATAAATAATATAGGATATAATAATATAGGAATAATTAATATAGAAAAAAATAATATAGGAATAATTAATATATAATTAATATAAATAATAAATGATATAGTAATATAGGAATAATTAGTGGGAGTGTGCTTGGTGTATGAGTTTGAATTTAGTTTAAGATGATAAGACATAGTTATGATCATATTTCAGCTCGGAGTTTGCACAATACGTGAAAGTGTCATATCTGAAGCATTTAAAAATCCTGCGGGCGTATAAGGTCCAAACTAGTGTTGTTACAACTTTTAAATATTTCAATTGTTGACTAAAGCGGCTGATATATTTTTTAAAGTCGACTAAAATCAACTAATTAATTTTAAAAATTGACTAAGTCGCCTAAATGTCGATTCAGTCGAAATATGGGAATAATTTATTTTTTCAAAATAAATGTAGTAAAAATGATATATATTAGCTTTTTATTTTTTAACATTAATTTGAAGGCCACCTTAAATACTTGCTTAATAAAAACATTCTATACAATCGTATTTACAATGTGAGTGTATAGAAGACATTTAGATTTAGAGCTTCACAACTTAATATTATCCTAAGCTAGCTTGGAACAGCCCTGTATATATTATTAAAACTTCTTTTCAGCACAAAATGTGATATTACTTTTAAAAATTAGACAAATTTTTTAATTTTATTTAAAAACATTTTATTATTCAATACATGCTTCGACTATATATAGTCATCATCAGTTAAAATATATTTGTTTAAAACGGTATAAAATATAATATATAATTCTAAAAATAAACATAATAAAAGCCATAAAATTGTAAACAAACTTCCTATATATACAAAAAGATTTATTAAAATTATTTTAACAAATGTCAATTATAACAAAAGAAACCCGTTAATCAATGTTGTTCTTATATGAAATATAACAACAATAATGAAATGATGTTGTTATATTAGATAGGAAGGTTTATGACAACGGGATTTACAATATTATTAATGATCCAACTAAATTTAAACACTTAAAAAAAGACGTCACCATTAATAGGGAAACTTCAAAACTTTTTGAGGAAACTAAAAAGTCAAGGTTTCTTTGATGATTCAAGTTATAATAAAATTTATCCTACAGGCTCTCGTCCTGCTAGCATATACGGTCGTCCGAAAATGCACAAATTAAAGTCTTTTGATTATGATATACTTTTACGACCTATTGTATCGTCTATTAGCACTTATAACTATCATTTGGCTAGATTTCTTCGAGATTTATTATCTTCATTAATACCCTCTGAGTTTTGTACTAAAGATTCTTTAAACTATGTTAAAGAAGTAAACGAAGCGAACCTATTTAACAGTTTTCTTTTGATATCACAAGATTATTCACAAACATTCAATTACAAGAAACAATAAATTTTGCTGTCGATGTTATTATAGAAAATAATATAAATCTTAAAATCAACAAAAGTAATTTAGAAAAACTCTTTCATTTTTCAACAGCACAAACGCATTTTCACTTTAAAGAACAGGTTTATGACCAAATTGATGGAGTTGCTATGGATTCTCCATTAGCACCTGTACTTGCTAATCTGTTTATGGGAAATTTCGAAGAAAAATGGGTCAAATTTTATAATGGAGAAAAACCGCTGTTTTACAAACGTTATGTAGATGACATTTTTGCTGCTTTACCCTCAAAAAACCACGCAATTATTATCTTGGATTGTATAAACAAAAAACATTCTTCAATATCTTTCACCATGGAAAAGGAAGAAAACTCAAAAATATCGTTTTTGGACATAAATCTATGTAAATCGAGAAGTTCAACAATTACAACAGTTTTTCATAAAAAAACCTTTACTGGATTATACACCAACTTTTACAGCTTTACTTCGTTTTCAAATAAATAAGTCGTATAAAATGTTTAATTGATAGAACTTTCAAAGTTAACAACACTACTTTTGGTGTCCGCTATGACATTAAAAATCTTTTCAAAATTCTCAAACGTAATATGTACCCATCTTGGCTAATAGAAAAAATCTACAACTCTTACTTAAATAAAGATAATTATGCAGTTCTATCACCGTCTGAAGACCTAACTAACTCTCGCTATTTCAAACTTACTTATATTGGTCGAATATAAATACCAACTAGTGATAGACTAGGAAGCTATGACGGGATTTTTACTTAAGCATTCTTTACATATATGTGTGTATGCGTGTGTGTCTATATATATATAAAAGTGTTGGTTTTTGGGTAGTCATTTTTTATAACTATTTATTTTTTTTCCCGCCTACGCAATTTTTGACGTTTTTCGTTGCGGTTTCGTTTACTGTTTTTGTCGTTATCACTATGTTTCATTTAAGACCTGCTTTTTTAATTGGTTTGCAATATTCGATCTAGGTATCTATGGTCTAGGTATTTTGTTTTTATAATTTCATATATATTTCTACACTTTATCGGCTTAAGTTTATTTGTCCTAATAGTATCAATTTTAGCCACTTGTTTTATATTTTAATATGTTTTTATCTAACAACATTTATCACATCGGTAGTGTAGTTAAGTATTTTGTGATTATATTAGTTTTCTATAAGAATTATTTTTATTACTTGATATTATCATTTACATTTTAGTTTATTGTTTTTTTGTTATTTCTGTTTAAAAGCTTTATTTATATTTTATTTTATATATTTATTTTATTACTTTATATATATTTTATTTTATTTTAAATATGTTATAATATTAGATATTGTACTCACTACTCTCACTATTCATATTATTTCTTCAAAAATATTAGTCCTTTACAAACTTGGGTGAGGTTAGGGTTTTGGCTATTTTGTAGTGAAGTCCTATTTTACTGCAGTATGGAGTAGGCGGAAATCGCGGGGTAAAGCATAAATAGCGATGATGTTTATATGACGGGGTAAACTAGGTATTAGTGCTGAGCCTCTTTGAAACGCCGGTAATAATAAATGCGATTCTGAGGAGAAGTTTATTACCACTACTACATAAACTATGATTACACATAAGCAATAATGTTTTTTCTTTATCTTATGCCTCCTATGAATTTATATGAATTTATATTTATTCATTTTGAATACTGATATATCTATACATATGTATTTTTATTTTAAATTTGTTAAATATTTGTATTTAACAAATTTAATGTGTCCTGTATTTATGTGTCCTGTTTTGTTTTTGTTACATTTCTTTTACATGCGCGATGCCTAAATTATTATTTATTTTTTTTACTACAAGCTTTACTATAGTATCTTTGTTTTTGTTCTGAACATCTGTTCTATATATATTTTTAAATACTTTATACTTTTTCTTTTCCTAAATTTTTCCTTATTTCACTTATCCTTGACAGCTCGGTGTAGTCCTTTAATGCATTTTTTTGCATTTTTATAAAATGACTTTTAAATTATTTAGAATGTAAATTTGAAAACAACATATTGATAACTTTTTTATGTTTCTCGCATTTTAAATCAACAAGTTCTTTTAAAGAATTTAATAAATGTACTGTGGGTACGTTTATTATGGGTTTGGTCTTTTACTGTTTAATTTAGATCTTTTCAAAACATTTTATAAACGTTTTTCATAAGTGTTATTCAAACATTTTTTTAGGTAATGCTGGTCTGAACATTTAAAAAGCATTTTTTATTGAAGTATATATATATATATATATATATTTTTTTTTAATTTACCGACTGCCATAACGACATTTGTCAACTGACTTTACCGACTAACCTATCAACAGGGTCTATATTTGCCGATTAACTAGTCAAAATCATATTTGCCGACTAAGGGTCAAGTTTGCCGACTAAAAATCATTGATGGGGGGAATGTCACACACCCCTATCGCGCCGGCCTTGAATATATATATACACATATATAAAAGCATTTAGACATAAATATATAAAAGTAAAAGTAAAAACCTTAGCATCATATGGATATCCATTTTCGCTGTCTAATCCATCATTATCTTTAATATATTCAAATGCATTATTCGTCCAACCACCATCGCAACCTTGATTTCCATAAGATTTCGAGCAATCAACTAAGTTTTGCTCACTTAAAGTGGGAAGAATACCTGTTTTTCGAAATGTTTGGCCTTCTAAAGCTCCAGTCTAAATAAAAACATTAGTTTGTTATCTCTCAACAATATAAGTACCGTTTGCTATCCTTAAACAACAAATTAAACTGAAGTTTATGTAAAATAACTCCTAAATAATTTCGTAGGAGAAAATGTTTATTTGGTTATGTTTGGAATATTTATATATATATATATATTATATATATATATATATATAGATATATATATATATATATATATATATATATATATATATATATATATATATACATATATATATATAATATATATATATATATATTATATATATATACTATATATATAGATATTTATATATTTATATATATACATATATACATACATATATATATATTTATATATATATATATATATATATACATATATATATATATATATATATATATATATATATATATATATATATATATTTATTTATATATA